GTGTCTATTACTCCATTCCAATCACCCATTAATATAAAAGATTTATAGTCCCATTGTATTATTTTAGTATGTAAAAATTTATAAAACTTGTCTTGTTGCTGATTAGGGGCATATATTCCAATAAAAAGCATTTTTCCAGTCTGTGTTAATAATTCAATTGCAATATATCTTCCTTGATCATCTGCCTCAATTAAATTAGCTGATAGTCCTTTCCTTACATATATGACTAGTCCATTTTTCTTCTCTAGCGCTGATGCCACAAAATGTGTACCTAATCTTGAATTTATCAAATATTTTTGATCTGATAATCTGATATGTGTTTTTTGCAAGCAAATAACGTCATTGTTAAATTGTTTCAAGTAGTGAAATACTTTCTTTCTTTTTTGTGGTGAATTTAGGCCATTGACATTCCAAGATAGGAATTTAGTTGCCATCTTTAGCCTTTCAAAGCCTTGTGAGCATCAGCTGAAGCTCCTCCTCCACCTTACTCTTCGGCCTAGCCCCCCCCCCCCACTGCTTCTGTTTTTTGGACTTCTTGAGATAAACCTTGAGATTGTTGCCTTTTTAGTTGTTGTTCTTGAAGTTTATAAGTTGATCGGGTCAGTCGTTGTACTTTCGGCTCTCCCTTCTTAGGTGGTTCCAAAGTTGGGGGTAAGCCCCCAAGATCCAAATCTTCTTCCATAATAATTCCTCCAGCTGCAACTTCAGCATAGGTTTGTATCTGTTTTCCATCTTTTTCTTGTTGTAACATCTCTGTTTTCTTCCTTCCCCACTTTGGTGAGGGTGGGTATCCAGCCTTTAAAACATTTACATAGAAATCTTTTGCCTTCCAGACTGTGTTTAACCGGTATCTTTCTCCATTGTAAGTCACTATTAGACCAATTGGAACGTCCCATCTGTATGCCACTTGTTGATTTCTCAGCTCATTTACCAGGAAGCCAAAGTCTTTTCTACTTCTCAACATCTTTGGAGGAATCTCTTTCAAAACCACCACCTCTTGCCCAGCCACCTGAACTTTATTCTTGTAAGAAGCTTGTAAAATATCATTTCTGATCCTCCTAGTTGTGAAATAGACCACCACATCTCTTGGCAGCTGTCTTTGTTTTGCCAACCAGGAATTAACCCTGTAAATTTTATCAATTTGGATTGCCACATCTTCTGATCTTTTTTTAATTATCTCTGCAATAGCATCAGCACAAATATCTTTTAAGTTTTCTTTGCTATTTTCTTTCAGGCCTCTCAATCTCAAAGCAAACTCCATGGATCTGTATTGTAACATTACCAATTCATCATCCACTTTCTCTGTTCTGGTCATGACATCACCCATTTTACTTTCCAAATTTAAATTGGCTTCATTAATTTCTTCAACTTTCCCATCAAGCTGGATAACAAGGTTTGACAATCCTGATACAGCATAAACAATATCATCTCTTATTTCATCGTGTTTTTCTGCAACCACCTCGATTGAACTGATATCCTCCTCAACTTTCTTTAATTTCCCTTTCACAAGTAGTGTTAGATTATTCATTGCTGTGGCTTGATTATTCATAGCTTCTTTCATTGCTATTGCTTGATTATTCATGGCTTCTCTCACTGATGTTGCTTGATTATTCATAGCTTCTTTCATAAACTCTTTAAAATCATTAAGTGCAGCCTCCTGACTCTGACTCTGAGTCTGTGGATCAGCCGGAAGTTGTGCTTTCTGTGTCACCACTGACACAACTGGAGAACCTCCCCCTCCTTTAACAACTCCTGGTTTCACTTGTCTAGAAGCCATTTCCTCCCCCTCTTTTAAAGTGATCTTTGAAAGCCACAAAGTCTTTTAAACAACTTTAAAATGTTTGTAATTTATAGTCTCCAATTTATCAGGCAGGATAGTTTTTTGTTGGTTTTTTTTGTTGGTTTTTTACAAACTCTCACTTCCCAGCAGTTAATAAGCAGCTAGTCACTCTCCCAGTCAAAGTTCTCAAGCACTTTTGTTTCTGGCTTTCACTTTCAAAACCATAACAAAGACGCCATCTTCAGCCTCCAGTTCAATGAGTTTCAGTTTGAAACAAAGTAACTTCGGAGTTAAGCTCTGTACTTTTAAAGCTTGTTCTCCTGTTTTCCGCTCTGCCTGCGCTTGTAATCAGTCAAACTCACTTTTGAAAGCAGGATCGGATCGCGGCTTCTCACTCTGCTTTCGCAGAGTCGTCCTGGCTCTGGAGCTTCTTGGTGGGCTGGCTGGGGAGCTCTCACCCTCCAAGCCTCTGGAAATGTTCCAGAGGACTTTCGGGGAGCTCTACTCTCGCCCACCGGCTCTCCTCTCCTTCTTTTCCCGAAGGAGAGTTTTTCAGCTGCCAGATAGCCGGTTTGTGCTGTCAAAGCGGCTTTTACGGAGACGCAGGGCTGGCAGTCTTAAAAGACCGTCCACGGAGCCGGCAGTGCCGACCGGAAGTCTCTGGCTTGATTTTTTTGATGAACTGTATAATTTAAGTTACATAATTTAAGAACTGTGCTTAATTTTTTCTCAATATCTGTATAATTTGTTAAATGCTACAAGCATCAACATAACCCCAGATTGCCTTGACCTTTGTGACATGCATACATTTAAGCAGAGAAGTAAACTTGCATGTCAATTATAAGAGGATCTCAAGGAAATAAGCTTCCTGCTGAAGTTTTCATAACTCCATTTTCTAAATATAAACAATTGTAAGAAACAAATATAACTAGTAAGTAGACATTTGGATTTTGTAGCATAGTGCAGAATGACACCTGGGCAGGTGTTTTTCTGCTAAATCTATAAATAAGTATAATCATTTTGTAGCCCCCAAAGAATAAGGTAATGTTTGCTTGTGTGTTCATTTTTTAATTTTAAATTGAAGTAGCTGAACAAGAGCATTTGACAAAGACAAAAGTTAAGGTCATGGAAAGCTCTGGTTTGCGGAGTTAGCCACCATTAGTTGTTTTTACACATTAAACCAGAATACCCATAATAGTTTACAAGCCACAACAGTTGAATTCTAACACTGAATGAACAATATTATTTAATACAACATATAACTGCAACTTCAGTACCCACAAGATCTTCTAGGGCACGTGGAGCCATATTGGTGGGCACGCGAGCGTTGCCCTAGCTGAGCTCCAGCACGCATGCACGTGCTGGCCAGCTGATTTTCGGGCCTTCTGGGCCCAACAGAAGTAAGCAAATGGGCTGTTTCTGGCCTCCGGTGAGGTGGGGAAGGCTATTTTCACCCTCCCCAGGCTCCCAGAAAGCCTCTGGAGCCTGGGGAGGACAAAAAATGGGCCTATCGGGTGCACCGTGCCATCACATGCCAAAAGCGGTGGGAGCACGGGGTGGTCGTGCGCACGTGCATGGGGGGGCAGGGCGCATAGAATTATGGGTGTGGGCACGTGCACGTGCGACCACCCTGCATTCCCCCCGCTTTTGGCACGCGATGGCAAAAAGGTTAGCCATCCCTGTTCTAGGATATGCTAAAGCATCCTCCTCCTAAAGTAGTAGTTCTTTTGCTACATTGTTAAGTATAATGGCTTTCTTTGAAGAAAAACATTATTTGAGGGACATACTATTCTCTTAATATGAGGAAATGTGAAATTGCTAAGGTATTTACCAAAACTATGTAACTTGTTCCTAAAACTGTCTAGTTACTGAAAAATGGCCTGGGAGCACCAACATTACAGTAGACTAGTTAAGTAAATATATGAAAAGAATTATTGTTTCCAAAAGAATTATCAAGGACAAACCCAGGCATAAAAGTCAAAAGTGACTTTTTTTTCTGGTTGGAAATTCACACTTCACCTTTAAATTAGGTACCGGGGATATGCTGACCTTGAGCAAAATCTAAATTTCATTTCTTTTACCTTAAACTAAAATTCAATACATTTCAAATTCCAGTCTACAGCACTGATATATTTAATAAACTTCTCCCTCAACATCACATTGGAGGTGTTTGAACACCCCATTAAAAAAAAAATCACCAGAGGATAAATGCAGCTTTGGGTGTGGCTAGTTTAAGTTTGTCTCATTCATGGCCTGGGGATGAGATAAATTACACCTCATGATGATGCAGAAAAAAAATGTTTTCAGATTATGCCTGTGCCATATTTAGTCAAAGCAGAGACATAAGCCTTTCTCATTTTGACTGTAATCCTTCAGAGCACGAACACACATAAAAGAATATACCGTGCTGTCGTACTGAAATTATATCCGTATCTCTGATCAGCTATTTCTCATAGAAATGGCTAGGCGGTTGTACATTCTTATTAGTCTACATCCTTCGTCTCCACCCCTATTATAGCTGCTGCTTCGTCATGACAGCAGCCATCACTAATAGTGCAAGTCCCTTACGCCTGAGATTCTACTAACACTTCGCCATCAACACCAGCTACAACTTCCCAGTGATGATTTTCTGCAACTATTCTTCTCAAACCCCTCCACTTCCAGCCGCCGCCGCTAAACCCGCTTCTTCCCGACGGCTCCTTTCGACGTTTGCGAGCCGCAAAGCCATTCGAGCCCGCGTATGCACTGCGGTGGGCGGCCCTAAATCTGCGTACAAGAGGGAGGACGGGATGGAGACGCGGGGGCGCTGCTAATGCCCGCCCATCTTCGGCCCACCATGCCGCAGGGGGAATGCATGTTCCTATTGGTTCTCTTTCGACAAAGGCGTGGCCTCTTCCCTGCGCTTGTTTCCAATTGGCGACGGCTCATGTCAGTGACCAAAAAAACAACAACCAAATAACAAGTTACCCAACTCAACAACACCTCCCTCAAAGCTTTGCAAGCGGCAGCGAGTGTGAGTTAGGACTGGACGCGGGAGCGGAGAGTCGGAGAAGGCGAAAGCGGGAGGGACAGAGGGAGGCGCCGGTGGGATTGTCGCGGGCGGACATAACGAAATCAGCAGCGGCGGCAGGAGGAGCAGCGGAAGCAGCCGTGACTGAAGCGCATCGCGGATCTGTGCGAGGCCCGGTGAGTCGCTGGAATCTGGGTATGGGGGCGTTGACTTGCTCTCGTCTGTCATTGCACTCTCCCTCCAGCCCTCGCCCCTTTGCTGTCATCCTTTCCCCTTCCTCCTCCTACTTCCTGTAACCGCCTCCTTTTAAATCCCACCCACACCCACCGTCCACCACCCTCGTACCAAGGCTGTCGCCCTTGAAGATGCCGCCTACTTCTTTGATGCGGTTCTCCCCGCGCCTCGCAGACGCATGCTCCCATCTGCCAGCCGCGGCTGTTGTTCCCCACCTCTCCCCTCGCCTTGGTGCCTCCCCTCGGTAGCTCGAACGCGCTTGGCGACCCCTTAGGTTCGCCTTCTTTTTCCACAAGGATTTTCCTCAAGTCTTTGCTTCGGGGGGTTTCTCCCCACGGTAATCACAGCCCATCTTCCCGCCCCCTCCCAGCAAGAGCCCGCAGCATAGGTGAGTGCCAGAGCTGACCAAATCTTGCATCCCTGAATAAATGGTCCTGAGAATTTTAGGAAATGACCGGGTTCCCGTTGCAATGAATCTCTTCTGACTGCCAGACTGCTTGACATTGTCCTGGCTTTAGCTTAAGAATCTTAACTCAAACAGCTTTTCTTCCTTCTCAGCTGCTGGTCGCTTATTATTCTTATAGTATGTAATATGTGTCTTCTGTCTGAGATGCTGTGCGTTTCAAACCCTGCCTCCTACCATGAGTTGGGAATGAGTAATTTTACGGATTTAGAGAACCTGCAGACATAAAATATTTTTTGTGTTTCGTTGCCTACAGTGTTCATTAAAGCTGTAATCTGGGCTGCAAGATGTGCATCAAATTTATTTTCTGTTCTATTTTCTCTTATTTGCTCTAGATTCTTGCAAGATGTAAGACTAAAAAATATCTGGGAATATTCATGCATGAAAGAAAATGTTCATTTACTAACTTCTTCTCCCTCTTGAAAGAAAGAAATGATATAGACAGCTTTAGATCACTGACAGCTGACACTGACATGTGATGGCAAAATCCTGGAAGCACCCTGGGGTGAAGTTTGGATTTTCTTTAGAAAGATAGGTTTGAGGATTCCCCTCATGCTGCCATCACTTGATTGTTCTGAAGTGCAGCCTTCATAACTATCTCATTGTAGTCCATTAATACCTTTAAAATAAAATATCTGTTTATTAGTTCTGCTATTAGAATTACATTTTCCATCACTTGTACTGCTATTTCTTCTGAAAGTGGCTGAATTTTACAGTGCAGTATATGTACATTCCTGGTCTTGGACTATATATTATTAATTTACTATACTGACTTAGTTAAAAGATTCCCTTCGGTCATGTAAGCATTCTCAACCTATGCAATCACATCTAATATTACAATCAATTATTTAAGTTTTTTAAAAGAAAAGTATTTTAAAGAAAATGTTTAATTACTTGACAGGTAGTGCAAATTAAATCTGAAGGTAATGAAGTAGAAAAATGTCCTAATTGAATATTAATTTTCAAAATTTCTTTCTTAGCCTCTCATGCCAGATATCTCGGGGAATATCATCTTTTTTTAAATCTGTATACAATATTTGAGTGCACTACACACATGTAGCTGTTGGTTAATGTCGAAGTTTGCCACCAAATGAGGCAGTTGAAATAAAATCAGTGTGTTATATAAGGTTATGGAGAAGAAAATATAGTCAATGCAATCTACTTATTTTTTCTTACCTTCTATCTCCTGCTTTCTTTGATTAGAAAATTAGAAAATGGGGCCAATTTTTAAATATAGCTTCTCTTAAATGGTTTTATTGTTATAAGAAAGAAAACTTGGTTTTCTATGGTTTTGAATGTAAAACAGTTCTTGGCAGGATTTTGATTTGGAATCACAGCACTAAGTATATGCCAAACTATCATAACTTCTACATATATTAAGGAGGTAGCACAATCCTGTTTGAACTTAATGGGATTTAAACATGTATAGAATTGCCCAGATAAATTGTATAATTAAATTTCCTGTTGTTCGAGATAAAAATTCGGTGCTCAGTATTAATTTTACAGAGAGCTATTCTGTAATTAATATTTGCATTTATGCATATGGATTGCATACTCTAAAATAGGGTAAAGTTTTTCATATACACTAGTTTTATCCATAAAAGAGACTTGAAGATCACTACTTCCATCTTCAGGATATAGTTGAGATACTAATTTATTCCAGTTTTGTATTCAAGTTAGAAATAAGAACTCCCACCTCAAATACTTAACATGCAACTTCAATTAGCTATTTGATTAGTAAAATAAACATAGCAAGTCTGAATGCTATCTTCAGGAATTTAATTTTGTGCTTAACATAATTTAGTGCAATCAATCTACTCTCTAACAATGCAAATTAAAGTTCTTTGAAATCAGTGAAACAGTTGTGTTGAATTTTGGGTGGACTGCACTGAATTTCATTTTTATATTATTGCTCATTCATTTTTGAGGATGTTCTAATTTTTCTGATACCATAGTTTATTATTCTTAAAATCTGTAAACATAATTTTTCTGTAGATTGAAGAATAAAAGTGAAACTATTTTCTTATTCATGTAATTTAATTCCTGATTATTTCTATGTTTCAAAATACATTTGTATGGCTTGCTTTAAAACAGGAAACATAATATTGAATTATGTTTATAATGATGAAGACCCTCTACATGAATCATATCTTCTTCCATATGTCAAAGTTGTAATAGAAGTTTTGAATTTTCTTATGATGGATATCTATGTTAAAGCATTTTATTTGTAACTTAATAGAAGACGTTTGATTTATTTGGAACAACTTTTGTATCAATTTTATAGTTAAGATTTTGTTTTTAAATTAATATTTATAAAAGTATTTATAAATTCTGGGCATTTTTATTCTCTTTAATGACTTCTGCTTAATGAGATTATATACAGATTTATGCACTTAAAATGTAAAAGATTTATTTTGAATCAAAGATTAATTCTTTAAATTAACATTAAGAATTATTAGATTTAAAAAACAAATTTAGCAGAATTCTTTGCTCATATTAAAAACTTTTTTAAACCATTAACTTTATATGTTGTGTTTCTTATATAAGGATATTAAAATTAGTGCTAGTTTTGTTCTTAGTTTTTATTGTTTAGCAAATAAAATATCTTTGTTACACGATATTTAAATTTATATGCAAGCTAATCCTATGAAATCTTGTATATTCAAGAGATGGGAGTGGGAGGCAACTGTTTTGCAGTAATTGTCCTCTTTCCTCTGGTGTGGTTCCAATCAGTGAAATCCTATGAAACTGTACATTCACCCATTATTCTAATCTGAATAATGGAATTATGGAATAATGGAATTAATTCTAAGAAAGCATTTCTATGATGACAATCAATAGTTAGAAATACTGAAAATATAGGTCAACCTAGGAAGATAATTTAACTTTTATGAACTGGCATTATGGGAAAAGTTGCTTCCCACTCCCATCTCTTGAAATTGGTCCAGAGGTGTACCATGATTGGTGGCATTGAAAACTTCTGATAAAGCAAGGATGGTGAGAACGGATGTACTTCTCTCATCTTGGTTTTGTCACAGATACTTCCCAGGTGGGATCAATGCTTTCTCTCTATTCTAACCAGCTCTGAAGCCTAAATGAAAGGTAGATAATTCACTTCCTTCAGGGGTCTTTGAAGCTGTTCAACCAACTTTCCCATAATCTCTTGGAGGTTGTTCAAAAATTATTTAGTACTGTTGGCTCTAGTGAATATTTCCTAAAAAGGGCTGTACTAATAAATTCATCACTGTCTGGGCCCAATCATTGTTATTTCCCTGGAGATCTTGTTAAACTAAGAGAAACATAGATCAACATACAGGTGGCTGCACTACTTCAAAACTTACAGGCTGAAACGTCTCCCAAATAATCAAGCCAGACTATACCTCAGTCAACTAAGAAGGAACCTGTAACTGGAGGATTTGAACAATGTTATACTTAAATCAGAGGTGAAATCTGGCCGGATCTATCCGGCTTGCGCAAACTGGTAGTGCTGCTGACGGGAGGTTCCGCTCACCCCCCCGGGACATCATTATGTCCCATTTTTTACTTTCTGCGCATGCGGAGAAGGCTCTGCACATGTGCAGAAGAGGTGCGCACACACACACTCCTGAACCGGTAGCGAAGGCAAGTGCATTTCACCACTGACTTAAATGCTTAAGATGTATTTTAAAATGTAAACCTTAAACAATTCATGCTTAAACTGAGTCCTAGGAAGGCAAAAAGGTATCTTTTCCAGTAGTATTTTTTAGGGGGATTTACATGGTGTCATATAAAATTACCATTTTACATTATGTAAAAAATCCACTACACTATGAACCTAAAGAAAAACTTTGGGTTATTTTTGTTTTAAAACATTGTTTAATATTATTCAATAAATGATAATTGATCTTAATTTTCAGTATCTCTATAAGCTTGCTTTATTGAAAGGCAGAATATTAAAAAAACTGTTGTGGCCCATCAGCGGCCTGTGCAGATTGTAGCTGAGTCCGACAACAAGGAGGCTGGTGTGGTGCTGCGCTAGCAGTCGGACAGTGAGGCGGCTGGTGAAGATGTGGTGCCAGAGGCAGGGATTCAGCCAGGGCCTTCAGAACCTCCAGAAGCTCCTTTAAGTGAAGAGGACGAAGAGGAGGAACCTCTTCTCAATGCATGGGTGCGCAGAGCTGCCAAAAGGCAGGAGTGGCTCCTCAGGAGGATGTTTCCTTGAGAGTAAAGCTTGGGGCTAATTGGCCACTCCCTTAGCCTATTTAAGGAGGAACGCCGATTGCAGCAAGCTGTAAGGAACAACTTTAGTTCATTCTCCTTTGAGTGGATTCTCTGCAAAATTGTTTCTGGGCTTTCTGCCAACTCTAGTAAGACTGTTATTACCTTATCTTAGGATTCTTGTAGGCTGTTAAGGAAGTTTATTAACAGCCTTTGTGTGATAAAGACTGAATTATTTGAGCAAAATAAGTTTTTTATAGATTTTGTGTGTGCTGTGTTCTTTGGGGTCTGTAGCTGGGGCAGAACAAAAACAAAGAATATTGTGCAATTGTTTTCACACTGTTAAGTCTTCTTTTTTTAGTATTGGTATGTGTAGATCAACCTCTTCCAATCCATTTGCCACTATGTCATTCTTCAGATTGGCTGACATAAATTAGAACTTTTACATACTCTTATGCTTTTCCTTCTGTAGCTTTCTGATTTTGTAATGACCAGAGGCTTTTGTAACTAAGGAAAATTTTCTAAGCCATTTTAGATGTTGACATTTCTATTGTACAGAATTTCACTACACTATTTGTTTGATACTGTTCGATATTATTTGAATTAATTATTATCGGATCTGTTGTGTCTTTTATTATAATTTGAGGTTGGAACCTTATTTTTCTTTAGTATAAAGATCTTTAAGATCTTTAGAATACTTTTTTTTTTTATATGTGTGTCTGCTTCCA